CATTTTTGGCCAATCTAGCTTGCAGCTAGTATATATTGAATGTTAAATTAATTGACTTGAGCTAGCTAAAGGCTTCTACATCAAAGAAGATGTGATATATCTACTCTGCATGGGAGACCTGAAGAGGACTTATTCATGGCATAAGATGTACATTTCTTACCTTATCTTGCTTTAAAGAGGCAGTGTTCTACAAAATCCTCATTAGTCGGGACTTAAGAATTTTAGTTGATGTATCTCACTCTCTTTTTTTCTACATTCTACCGTGAAAAATGGTCCAATGATATATATATCCCTTATGTGCATAAGCTATGGCCCAATAGTGGCCTATTTTCTAAACACTACCAAGAAATTAGCTCTAATTTGAATCCACTTGCTATTGACTAGCAAGTCAAGCGACTCAAGCCAAACCTATCTATGTTCATCTCATAAATTAAAAGGATACAGAACATTTTTAGCATATCTAGCCAACCAGCCAGTATATATTGAATGTGTAATTAATTTACTTGTGCTAAAAGCCTCTTCTTGCAAGTTTAATTTAGTTATCTTAATCTTTTTTATTTAGATTTCTCCCAACAAGTCTTTTGCGAAATTTCTCACTTGAACACAAGTTGGTTTGACTTGATCTTCCCTCCAATTATGGGATAAAATAAACATGTCTTTTGTTAATGATCCTTGCAACTTCATGAATTTATCTCTTCTTTGGTGCATCAATAATAATAACATGGATATAAGTTAGCGAAGACTTTTATTTATAACATTTTCTTTCTTATCCTTGGCCTTGTTTGAATTTAGAAAAAAATGATTGTTCCTCTCATAATGGAAGTGTTAAAAGGGCAAAAGAAAAAGAACGTGGCATTGAAATAACACCTTGAGAAAAAATATCATAAGTAGCAGTTGGTTTTTCATAAATCATATATATCTACAATTAATTTTTTATTTTTAAAGTTTTTTTATCAAGTACAAGTCTAGAATGAGAATGAGGTTTGTAGTAAATTGAGAATTGAATTAAAAATTTTAAAAATTTATTTTATTAAATATTAATATTCCTATTTAAAAACTGTTTATATATTCACAATAAAATCCATTTCCAAATGCAACCATTAACCATGGAATTTTTAAATTTTAAATTAAAATTTAATTAAATAAAACAACATAATTTAAGGTTATGAGTCTAATTTATTTTAGAAGTTGGGATTGATGTATAATTTTTTCTATATATATTAGAATAATGCATATCAAATTAAATCTCAAATAAAAATTGGAGTCCCAACTTTTAATAACGTTATTT